TGTTAGCTGTCAGAATTCTGAGATTAAAATCAGAATTCTGAGAAAAAAGTCAGAATTCTGAGATTAAAGTCATAATTGTGAAAAAAAGTCCGAATTCTGACTTTAATATACTGAAATAAAATGAAAAAAATCAGTTAACTTTTTTTATTTTTTCAGTGGCCGTACATTTTGCTCCTTTTTCATCATGATAACCAAACTAAATTGAAAACATAAAAAGATCAGATGATCGGCGTTCAAAAAAGAACAAGGGAGAAAAAAAACGTTAGCAGTCACGTGAAGCCGCGTCACGTGACTCCGTGTCCGTATAACAGCCCATCAAACGAGGACACCGACAATCTGACTGTAAGCAGCCAAGGACACCATGAACAACATGTAAGCGATCTGAGAAACTTCTGACTTGTTTATATTTCCTATAAAATAACTACAGCAGGAAGGATTCAGTGACGCCGACGTGTTTATGAAGCGCGGTGGTTTGTTTTTATATTTGTAACGTGACCCAGATTTAAAGCCTTTAATGTGTGAATGTGGCTCAGAAGTAGAAAACTGGAGCTTTTCTAAACATAGTTTCTGTAAAGGAGCCGTGGTTGATAGAACAGGACAAGCTTTCAGTTCAGGCTGTGAAGGACAACAAAAGAATATCTGTTAATGAGCAAAGCAAGCTCCTCTCAGCTCTTCTTTTGTTTGCTGAAAACTTCCGGGTGTTTTTTAGGATTAAATCTTTTCTGTGAATCACCTGCAGCTTCATTTAACTCTCCTTTTCTCTCCAACAGACTGATCCTCTTCATCACCCTGTTATTCAGCTCGCTGGGCTTCAGCGGTTTCCTTGAATATGACCAAGATGTCCTGTAAGCCAACTGTGTTCTCACTTTCATTCAATAATAATACTAATAATACAGCTCTATCTCCATATTTGATTACTCTGCATCAACATTCAGTGTTAATGTTTCTTTCCCTTAATGACAAACATTCAATTATGCAAAACTTTTCCTGTTTCAGGTCAGTTAGGTTTACTTTAGTTGCTCTAAGCCTGAGTATTTATGGAAACACGTTTTGGTAATTAATTTCTTTCTTAAATTGGAAATCTCAAAGTATAAGCCTTTATATGGCACTCAGTGAAGTGCTTTGAAATTCAGCATTTTATGTCAGGAGTGATTGTAACAGAAAAAAAATTTAATAATATATATAATAAAAAAAAAGATCAGTGTAATTACTAATAAAGTAAATGGTACTAATATGGTTTAAGAATTTTAAGTCTTTCCATAAGAAATCACAGAAAGAGAGAAACATGTTTTTTTTTGCATCATAATCTTCAAAACAATAAATGATAGAGAAACTTCACATTTTTTAGCTTTTAACTTGGCTTATTTACTTTTTGAATTGGCATTTTCATTTTTTCCACTCAGCTTATTAAGTGTTTGACTTAACTTGTTAACTTTTTTTAAAACTTGATTTACAGTAAGAGTAACATTTCACACACAATAGACAACATTAGATTACTGGTTGTAGTCTATAAGGCTCTGCTTAAAGATGGAGGTGCACCTTGCAGATCCTGCACACCACATTTGACCTCAGTTTTTACCTTGTTTGCTGCAAAGTGGTGTTTATAGCATAAATACAGGTATAAACCAGGATAATGTCGCATAGGTGGCGAGAATAGCAAGAGTGGAAAAGTAAAATATTTCTAGCTGCTGAGCTCATTGAGCCATTTGGAGATCAAGTAAACACACAGTAAACAATACATGTTGTAATTGGAATCACTTTGCACTGTTTCAAATTAGTTTTGTTGGAAAAGAATGTGAGGGTTTCTTCTGCCTAAATATTATACTATGTAATTATATCTCTTTTTTTGTAATTTTTAAAAAATTAATAAATTAACAGAATTTGTACTTTGTTGTCTTCTATCTGATCAGGGCTCTGTGAAATTATCAATTAGTTGTTATAGTTATTTAATACTTAAGGGACCTTCTAACTGAATATGCTACTTTTTCACTCTCACTCTTACTAATCTCACCACTTCAATTAGAACCCATCCTCTAATTTGTGAAATTTTCTACACCAAAATAATACAATTTCCATTTGTAAAAAGGCAGATTTAAAAAAAAAAATCTATTTTTGTACTATTTCCCCTCTTTTTTTAGTTTTTTTTTCTTTTCTTTTTTTTTACAGTACAATGTTTTTAAATTATATTAAGTCTCCATAATAATATATATGTTAACGTTTCTCTGTTATTTTCCAGATATTTTTGTTACTTTTGTGTTTTTAATTTGATAGTTTAAAAAATCTTGGGTGTTTTTAGGAGGCTATTAAAGCAGATATAATGTTATTATTAATTAGTAAATTACTGAGAATTAATTTCCCTTTGTTAGTATTTCCAGGTTAAATAATCTCAAATCTCGTGAAAATACGTATTTCTTATCATTTTTTAGTCTTAACATGTTCAGAGTCTTTGCTTTATTTCATATAGCAATCATTTATGGAACCAGTTTAATTGCTTTCATCAAAAGTTAAATGTATAAAAAAATAAATCCAACAATAACCAAAAGAAATATATAAAAAAAACTGTAGCTAATATTCAGCATAAGTTGAATAAGCTCAAATTTTGTTGTTACAAAAAAGGAAAAAAACACACACTGACTGAATGAACTCTTCTGCTCCTTTAAAATGGATCTAAACTATCCCATTGTGGCCAATTCACTTTTTTAATTGAATCCTCATTATTCCAGTGAACCTGTGCTGCACATTTAAACACCTTTGTTCCTTTTTCTGACCCCATTCTGGAAGCAGGCAGTAAGTAGATATTTATAGACTGACTGGCTTTGATATTCACTCAGGAGTATTCAGATAAGGAGGTAACAGCCCAAGTAAAAATATCCATCTGTTTATTATCTTATTTAAACGTCAGCAGAGATTTAAATATGAACTTTTTAAAAGAGGTTTCCTTTTTTCTTACTTAGGCTTTCACCGGACTGGACCCATGCTGGTCGGGTGGATCCTTCAGAGCAGTTGGAGTTGACCTTTGCCCTAAAGCAGCAGAACATTGACCTTCTAGAGGAAACACTCAGACGGGTGTCAGACCCTGACTCACCTCAGTACGGTAGGCCTCTAATAATATAGCATTTAAACATGACTGTACACAGCTGTTAGCTCTGATTCTGTCTCCTCCCACAAAAGAGCAAACGGTGAGACAAATCTTCTGTCCTCTGCAGGTAAACATCTGAATCTGCAGGAAGTTGCCTCTCTCGTGCGTCCCTCTGAGCTCACCCAGAAGGTGGTGCATGGCTGGCTGCAGGCACATGGCGTTTCAAACTGTCGCACTGTTAGCACCCAGGACTTCTTACAGTGCACCATGACTGCAGAGTAAGCACATCTGTTCTTAGCTGCTTTCTTTGCTCACCTGGGAGCCGACACAGATAAGGGTTTTGGTTCACTTTTATTTCTGGGGTTTCATAAATCTCATGAGAAGGTTGTTCTTTCATCATGTGAGGCTGTTCCTGTATTTGCAGTGAATAAAGAAATAAACTGTCGGTTACAATCTGCAGGAAGTGAAATTAGAACTGATGTAAAATAAAATGGCAACTTCCTCGCAAAATTCAGTGATGGCTAAACAGAAACGTTGCAAAATTACAGTTGTTTATTCCAACTTTCCCTGCTGCAGCGCTAATCCATTATTTCTGGTTAAATTTAATACATTTTTAACTACACTGCGGGACTTTTGACCAAGTATTTAATTTAGATTCATATTTGGATTGGTTTGAATTGGATTTAATCCATTAGTTTGACAGACCTACTCCCAAACTGGTCCTTTAACCTCTACAGGGGGTCTAGCTGGTGGGTTTAAGGTTATAGACTTGTGGTCAGACAGTGAGGTTCAGGATTTTCTGTTTAAGAATAGAAATGATAGTTCCACCAATCAGTGTAAGTTGTCAAGTTTTTAAAGGCACACTATGCAACATTTTTCAGTTAATTAATGTGTTCCATAACGTTTTGGATGATTAAATGAGT